CCCACATACACACACTTGTCCCATCTTGTCTGGGGGGCTTCAGTTCTGTTTGATGATAGGAACAATAGGAAATTAATTAACAATAGGAATAAAAGGAATCACCGGTAAGCATTCAGAGAGAATAGATAAAAATAGGAGCCATAGTATCTGAATGTGTTTTGATGTATGTATATAGTGTTTGGGGATATATACATGTACATAGTGTTTGGCGATATATATAGAATGAATTGATTTCTTTCTTGTTTCCTTTTGTTTTTTTTTTCGCTTTTGCGCTGTGATAACTTTGTGACGATATGTAGAGAGAGAGACGCATATGACGATACATGTACATGTCAGTCCAATACCCTAGTAACATGCATTATTTGCAGGATTTGCATGTGGCGGCAATGTACTGTTTCTCATTGGTAATGCGGTGTTGTGTTTTTTCTGATTGATCGATTATAATTCATGAAGAAATTATTTTAGTGCAAATGACGTTTTTCCCCTGTCACATTTATTCACCACTTCGTCCTAGGACTTCCAGAAATAATAATCAGTGTGCCGATAACTTGATATGATGATGACCAAAGGCTTGCAATTTATCGGCGAAAGTGATGGATTCCTCTTGATTTGCCTAGTCCAAGCCTGCCCCTCGCCGTCTCCCTGGGCCTCTCTCCAACCTCTTGTTTCTTTAACCCCCCTTACGAATTGTGGTATGATAATTTTTTTTAACGTTTGCATGCACCTGTCGATAGGTGTTGTGATTGTTAAGAGTCTGACGTGGATTGTTAAAAGTCTGACGTCAGTGCCTGTGATCTTTTTTGGTATGTCTAAATTGGGAAGGTAGACCTAACGAATCAGGGTCAGGCTCCACTGGTGCTATAGGTGTGTGCAATGGTGCCATGAACCTGGCCAGTTTTACTGTCAGGTTCGTGCTCTCTGAGCACGATCGATGATAGCAGCAGTGCCGCCAGCCCTTTAACCGTGGTGTGTTCGTGATAGACTGACGGAATTATTCTTGATGGGAGTTTTTTTTTCTTCTTCTTTTTTCCCCGTCCCCTGGGTACAGTGTATTTGTCGCCATTCCGTCTAGCTGAGGAATGCGCGTGTTTTTTTTTTTTCAATTTATCTGGTTTCATTTCTCTTTTTCCTTTTTTTTTAATGGGAAAAAACTCCTTGAACGCTGTGACCTGCGGTTCTGGTGTTTGGAGTATGCTCTGTTTATCCTTGCGCGGTGGAGGATATCGGAAAAGAATCTTTTTTTTTTTTTCCCGAAGGATTTTTTTTTTTGCGCCGTGAGAATGCTTATACTTGGTATATGCTTCTTTTGGGCGTCGATTTGTCGTCTTACAGATTTTACATAAAGAGTTTGAGACGCCGGACGCAGCCCACAAGGTCAGTGATATTCTTCCCCCCC